ATAGCAGAGGCATGGTTTGCATCGTCATGCTGGGCATGGGAGCAAGAAAAAGAAAGCCCAGAGAAAAAGCTGCCCCAGAGTTAAGCAGAAAAACCTACAGGATACCGGCGAGTAAAAATACTCATCCAATTTTGAAAAAGTAACCCCAAAACTTACTCAATGACTCTACAAAAATGTTGTTGCATGAGCTTTGGGAACAATGAGATCTCTATTTTTGGATACAGTCAAGTTTTCTGTATGCTTTCAAAGTTAAGGAAAACTCTCAGTACTACAGCTGGCCAGATTAATCTCTAATGTAACTCCAGAGGATATAAGCAGTAAGGATGTGAATGGTTAATCAGGAAACATCGCCCTTACTGGGTGATACTTCCCAATTACTGTTAACCAGCAGCCCTCCCCACCCGCTGCCAGAGCCCCCCCTTGCTTACCCTTGTTTAAGCAGTTAACTGGTTAACCATAACATTTAACTGGTTAACTGATTAAATGGGATTTACATCCCTATTAAGCAGTAACTAGAAACACACTAGGGATGAATTTGGTCTAGCATGCCCTATAGCTGCTTTATTTATTCCTGTTCGGAGTTGGACCTCTTCCCCTTTCTTAAATCCAGCACTAATTAAATACTCTCAAGTTCAAGATTTCTTTCAACATATTTCAAATTTGATCTGATTCCAGTTTATTTTGAAAATGATATTTGATTCAAAATTAATTAACTTGGCTTTATATGGTATTTGGGTTTATAGATTTTTCTAATACTTTATGAAAGAAGCACTCTGCAATTTACTTTATGTAGTCCATGTACTAAAAACATGCATTTAAAGCAGCCTTAGTTTTTTCCATACTTTACTCAATTACACATCTTGTATATTATGAAGAACACTGCATAAAAATGGCAGAGAAACCTGTGGCATTCAATCCACCCCAGGAGTTTTAAATTTACACCATGTTAATTGATTAAGAAAGCCATCAATGGAAGCCACATACAAAAACTTCAGCATTCCAAGCACATACTCTGCAATCAAGCAAGACAAAAAACATCAAGCAAACCAAAGGGGACTCTTCATAACTTAACCAACACTTTTCACTTTCAGCAGAAGTTAGACTTGACCCTCAGGTTACAACACAAAGAACTGTACACCCAGGCCAAAAATCATTATACAAAAATATATCAGTGTTGACTATCTACTTGACAAAAAGCACTTGATTGCATGAACTGAAATCATGGTTCAAATACCAACTTCCCAGACTTCCAACCCTGCAGTCAGAGGAGGTCTATCATTGAATTGAGTCTACAAAGCTCATTTTTTAACTCCCAAATCATTGAACTGAGCTCTCCCCACCATGACAGGCATATATACCTGAAATAATCTAAATTAGGATATTTCTGTTCCCCATTGAAGGATCATGTTCTTAAGGGGCTGCGAGCACTGTTGTAAAGCAATGACAAAAAGAAGCTTGATTAAACGTCATTTGGTTGCTTTTTCACATTTCAAGTTGGTTCCTCTTCCCTCTACATTAATCTCTCCTGGAAGATAACACTGCATTTCCCCTGCAGCCAGAAAGATGCTTTTCAGTCTAGTATTGATATTTATTTTTGCCAGGGTTACAAGCTCATGTAACGTTAATGAAAGGCAAGTGGGGCCATGCCTACTTGGAGTATTCAATATAGTGACGCATCAAATATTGAATATTTAGTAGTGACACTGAAGAACCTCTTTAATTACTGTGCATACAGAGGAACTTTAAGATAACCCACTGAAGACAGTCATGCAGATTGCATTTTTCATTGGAGAAGATCTTCTTTAGCCCAATCCCAGCAAGCTGGAAAAGCAGGAATTCTGAGGTAACTTTAAAATTCACAACTTTTACAGGAAAAAAAAATCACGTCAATAGCTACCTGTTCATTGGATTGAGCAATATTTTCTCTGTCTATATCAATGCACACCAATATCATTCCTGAAACACCAAATGTAAAACACACATACATTTGACACTGGTCAGCTTTAACAACAGCCTATACATCTTTCAATAAGAAAACTACATACTTTTGCTTTCTCCTTTTTCAGTCTCTGGAAGACAATAGTCAGAAATCAAACTAAATGGAGGTCTCAGTGCTTACTTCATTTAGTAAACTCTCCTTACAATTAATGTAACACATTAACAATCTGCTTACTACTGTAAATACTTCTATTTCTAGTAGCCTTCGTCCCATTTATATAGGGCTGGCTCATCCAGTAGTTCCTCAAACTCCAAAGCAATTCAAATCCTTTTCTGTGACATCCATCCATCTGTTATTGGGTCTTCCAACCATTCTTTTACTTTCTGCTTCTTACACCATGAGATTTATATATTCTTCTGAATCTTGTTTTCCACTTACCCAAACCAACTAAGTTTGGACTCCTCCTGCTTTTCTATAATGAGTACCACTTTCACACTTCCCCAATTCATTCATTCTGAACATGGCCTATCTTTGTAACTCCAAGCAATCACCTTAACATTATTTCCCCGGTATTCACGATCTTCCTGTCTCTTCCTTATTATCCTGCATTCTGAGCCATACAAAAGCATACGTCTAATTACAATCGTGTAGATCTTACTTTTCAGTTTGACAGGCACTCTCCTAAGTCAGATCACTCACTTTTCCCCATTTAGTCTATGCCTTTCCTGTACAGGCAGTCCCCGGGTACGTACAAGATAGGGACTGTAGGTTTGTTCTTAAGTTGAATCTGTATGTAAGTCGGAACTGGCGTCAGCCGCTGCTGAAACTAACCAGCGGCTGACTACAGGAAGCCCCAGGCAGAGTTGCTCTGCCCCCGGCTTCCTGGAATCAGCCGCTGATCAGTTTCAGCAGCAGCTGACTTAGGGACCCCTGGGTTTCTTAAGTTGAATCTGTATGTAAGTCGGAACTGGCGTCAGCCGCTGCTGAAACTAACCAGCGGCTGACTACAGGAAGCCCCAGGCAGAGTTGCTCTGCCCCCGGCTTCCTGGAATCAGCCGCTGATCAGTTTCAGCAGCAGCTGACTTAGGGACCCCTGGGTTTCTTAAGTTGAATCTGTATGTAAGTCGGAACTGGCGTCAGCCGCTGCTGAAACTAACCAGCGGCTGACTACAGGAAGCCCCAGGCAGAGTTGCTCTGCCCCCGGCTTCCTGGAATCAGCCGCTGATCAGTTTCAGCAGCAGCTGACTTAGGGACCCCTGGGTTTCTTAAGTTGAATCTGTATGTAAGTCGGAACTGGCGTCAGCCGCTGCTGAAACTGATCAGCGGCTGATTCCAGGAAGCCGGGGGCAGAGCAACTCTGCCTGGGGCTTCCTGTAGTCAGCCGCTGGTTAGTTTCAGCAGCGGCTGACGCCAGTTCCGACTTACATACAGATTCAACTTAAGAACAAACCTACAGTCCCTATCTTGTACGTACCCGGGGACTGCCTGTACTTATAAGTTGATCACTTAGTTATGATGTACCATAACTGACTGAACTGTACCATTGAACGTTGGTATTTGGACTGTTGTACTTTTGGTGTTTAAGATTACTGTAAGTCACATATTTCATATTAACATTTGATTACACTATCAATATTTGTAGTGCAGTACCATCTGATTCATAACACAAAGAGGAATCTATATTGTGAAAACTTTAAAAAAGCCCTCAAGACCTATACTGTATATTCCTTTCAGTTTTCAAGGAACAGGTTATAACTGTGTGGAATAAAAATTATATAAAAAAAAACCAGAGATATTTTCAGAAACAATTCTATTTTTGCAACATAAAGAAAATTTGAACAGGATTTGTCTGGTTTAACTGAGTAACCCCAAAACCAAGTATTTACATGAATTTTAAGCAATTCTGATGAAGTTTATTTTCACTAAGAGGGGAAAAAACAGGTTGATCAGATACAACATTTATAACGAAACAGGAAGGGCCAGAAGCAAAACCTCTAGATCCAGCCACCACCTGAACATCAGGGCAGTTCTGGTCCCAGTCGAAAGCTGGCTGCTTAGGCAGATCTCAGAAATGATAAAAATTGTGCATAATGTCTCAGATCTAGTTCTCACCAAAGACATTTCTAAAACCAACACTTGTTTAAAAAGCCACACTGTTGTCCTGAACATCAAGTGTGTTTCCCTTCCTCGATTCATTCTTGTAAATAAATCTGGGAGGAGAGAAACACTTGAGACTGACTAGGCAGATACATTTAGGTCTTCACTTTAAGGACACTGTTCTGTCTGACAAGGAATGAATTTGCAACTCCCACATTGCTTTATTCCCCAGTAAGGCACTTAAAAGTGGCTTTGTTTCTTCCTGCACTAATTTGTCCAAGTGTCGTATTACCATAGAACATAGTACAATAAGCTGATGGAAACTACCACACTCAGTTCTCTCTGAATCACAGTCGTCAATCCTTACTCATGTGGACTGCAATTTACTCAACTTATACTGATTTCAAAGTGATTTTTAAAAGCATCCTACTGTTTTATGGAGGCTTTCAGAAAGGCGAAGTTCACAGTGCCTTGCTCAGTGAAACTGCCACAGTCTGAAACCCTGCCTCATAAGGACACTCTTGACATTACCTGCTCTTTGAAAGGTTGAAGATCAAAGAGGGAGGGGTCCCCATAACTTTTCTCTCAACCCCAGCTGGACTTAAACTTCACAATACACACACCCTTCTCCAACCGGCTCGGAACAAACAACAACAGCCTTCCCTCCTTTGCCGTGTTGTAATATCTGGACGCTCCCCAGCTGCCCTTGGCGACTGGCACGTAGCCACTGACTTCTACTTCTCAACCTGTTCCAAGAGTTTGGCTGGCAACTGTTTCCCATTACAGTGCGCAGCGCTGGGGAGAGCCAGAACAGAAAGTGAATTCAATGAGGCTCGGAAGGTAGGATAGAATGGGGATCTGCAGCTTGTTTCTCCAGTCCCGATCAGGAAGGAGACGAAAAACGCAGTCAATAAAGCCAGGCAGGAAAGTTCCCCCCCACTCCCTGGCGCTACTGCGCGCCTACCTGTGCGTGGCCGACTCCTGGGGGTGAGCCTCGTGCCCTTCCCCCGGCTCCTCCTTGGTCCGGGGAGGGCTCTTGGTGAAGAACCTGGAGAAGCTGGTGTGCCAGGAGGGGCCGCTTCTCCTCCGGCTGCCCCAGCCAGACATCTCCGGCAGAGTGAGAAGGGGAAGCGGCGTCGATGGCTCGGGGCAGGACGGAAACCCTTCGCCGCCTCCCAGCAGCGCAGCCCCCGCGCACCGCCGCTGCTGCCCGCTCACTAGTCCCTACTCCATAATTGCAGCGGGGACGCGGCGCAAGGAAAGAGCCCAGGCAGCGCCACTGAGCGACCCGGTTCCCCCTCTTCTCCGAGGCACAAGAGCGGCTGGGGGCTGGGGCTGCCTGCGGGGGCACGCCCTCTCCCCCCATCCCATCAGCAGCCCGGGGCCGCCACAGCTCCGCCCCTTTCTCCTCCTACTCCCGGGCACGGCTTTATGGGACGCTTCCTCTCCCGCCCCTGCCGGCTCCTTAGTCAGGAAACTTGGGGAGTTTGGAGGCTCTGTATATGCTGAAATATGTAGTATACGCACTGCTCCTTACACTCACCAATAACGCGTTTTAGTCTTTCAAACGGTGCACACCAGTCGGGTCTACACCGACCATTTAATTTGCAGTTGGAAGGCCAGTCAGCTACCTTCCCCCAGAAATTACTGGAGGTTTAAAGAAGCCCCAATGTTAAGCCTTCTCCATAAAGGGTCTTGCTGCTTTTAAACCGAGTCAGCCCAACCCAGAGGAAGAAGCAACAGCATCACTTTGAGAATGACTTCTTTTTTTGCCAGCTGCTGGAAGATTGCTAACATTTTTACTACTAAATTTAAGAGATACCCCATATGGATAGTGATAGAAACGTAGCCGTGTTAGTCTGGTGTAGCTGAAACAAAAAACAGGACTATGTAGCACTTTAAAGACTAACAAGATGGTTTATTAGGTGATGAGCTTCTGTTCTGCAATTTGATTTGTTCTTTTCATATGTGTTCATTTTTTTAATTGTATCCTTTGGTATATATGGTTGTGACAATTTTCTTCCACTATTTGATCTGAGGAAGTGGGTCTGGCCCACGAAAGCTCATCACCTAATAAACCATCTTGTTAGTCTTTAAAGTGCTACATAGTCCTGTTTTTTGTTTCACCCATATGGATAGGCCTTGTGGTCTTAAGGCAATTCTTGATTTAGGGCAGAGGATTGCTTTTGCATTTGGAATAAAAGTAATTAAGATTCTGAAGGAAAATTTGGAAAGCAACAGTTTATAAAGAGCAATTAAATGAAACTGCATGGGTAGGTTGCAGTCCTGGCAGATGCCACGAAGTCCACCCCCAGCTTTGTAACCACAGAATAATCATCACATTCAGACAAAATTGTAATAACAGATTATTTCCATGTACTCTCTAGTTTTTCTTGCAAACTCCCATACCACAGTCCTCCCCCATCTCTATCCTCTTTGAATTGTAGTAATTGAAAAGCACACAATAATAATCCATATTTATAAAGTACACAGTAGCGTCACAGGCGTGAATAATCATCAATTAATCCTACCATGAAATAATTAAGTATGAAACAATAAGTAGTTTGTACACAGTGACACAGACAGATAATGTAGCTGCATACAGAATCTGTTAACCTTACCAGTGAATTGGCAGGGGAGTCTCTGCAGTGAAACACAACAGATTATCAGTTCTCTAATGGACCAGGTACTAGGGATGTGAAGGACTAGTCAACTATCTGATAAACAAATGCTTATCGAATAGTTGAGAGGATAGTCGACTAATAACTTCCCCCCCCATCCCTTGCTGCCTCTATCAGATAGAGGCAGAGAGGAGGATGAGGGGAGAGAAGATGGGGAGTACTTCAAAGTGGCAGCACCGCACAGAACCTGGGATCAGCTGCGTCGGGCTCCTTGCGGCATTTCAAAATCCCCAGCTGACCCCGGGTTTCAGCACTTTCCCTTTTAAAGAGTAGCAACAGCCCTTCAGCTGTTGCTACACTTCAAAGGTAGAATTGTAATAGAGATGTAGCTGTGTTAGTCTGGTCTTGCTGAAACAAAAGACAGGACTATGCAGCACTTTAAAGATTAAGGCACCCTATCGACTAACAGAAGAGTCAATGCAAAAAATGCATCAACTATTCGATTAGTCAGTTACCCAACACTTAAACATTCTTACTAGGTACAAAGAGCCAAACAATCTGAAACTCTAGTTTTCCCTCTAACAACTTTTCGCACTCAAAAAGGAGTGTTCCTTTGGCACCTTAGAGACTATCCAAAATATATAGACTCAAGAACTTTCGTGGGCAAAACCCATTCATTTTAGAGTTCAGTGGTTTTTTTCTTTTCTTTCTTCATTGTTCCAAAGAGCAAAAACAACATAAACATAGATCATATGGAATGACAGTTCTGGTTTGGGGGCACACAGACTAGCATTCTATTCATAACGTAAACTACATTTATCCAAAGCTAGGCTGCATTTTGCAGTTGTAATACATTTATTATCTTGTCAGGTGCCCAGGAGTCTCTGACCAGCAGGTGCCTTCTCAAGAAATAAATTAGGCACAAAAATAAAATAAGTCGCAGGCATGTATGGCTATAGCAAGCCAGTTTTTTGGGGGCACACAGACTAGCATTCTATTCATAACGTAAACTACATTTATCCAAAGCTAGGCTGCATTTTGCAGTTGTAATACATTTATTATCTTGTCAGGTGCCCAGGAGTCTCTGACCAGCAGGTGCCTTCTCAAGAAATAAATTAGGCACAAAAATAAAATAAGTCGCAGGCATGTATGGCTATAGCAAGCCAGTTTTTACCA